TATCGTCACAAACAGAACTGCCCGGTGAAACTCCGACGAAACAGTTTGTCACAGCCCCTCGTTTGTTGTCCTCTTCTCCCTCTCTGCCTACGGTTTACCGGGCAGTTCTATTTGACGATATATATCGTCACAAACAGATATTGGCCCGGTCTGGCAAGAAGTCTCGGGCCACTCTGGTAGCCTAGAAATCTATACAATAACTTCCATAATAATCTCGAATGACCTGGGGCAGGTCACCTGTGGATATATCTCAAGACTGCCCACCCTTTCATTCAAATAAAAGAAAAAACGGGGGAAAAAAAAAGAGCCAGTACTTCCAAACTGTGAGCAGGTCTTGTTTCTTTTTCTTTATTTTGCTTTTCAAAAGAAAAAAGAAAAAAAGGGCAACGGCCCTGTTTGATTAAGAGGCGCCAGACCCATTCTCCAGCAGGCGTTGCTTCCCACTAATAGATTGGAGCCTTCAACCCCAGCGCCTGCTTTGGGCCGCTGCTTACATCACCTCCCAAAGCGGGACCGAAGTTTGGGACAAAAAAAAATAAAAAATAAAATGCTTTTTTGTATCCATGTTGGTGGGCATGCAATCCCCTTAAGCTTAGCTCAATGGGGCCATTTGGCTGCAGTTGAGTCTGGTACACCAGATCATGGAAGTGATTTACTAACCATGCAGGGGTAATGCTGAAATTCGCATCTGCGGGCTTCAGTTTCATCCCAGCCACTTCGCCTTGTGGTGTGCGCTTTGATTTGAGATCAACAGGTTGTCGTAGGGTCATTTTTTGAGGGGAGCGTTTCGTTCGATCCAGTGATTTGGGTTGGCGCTTGAAGGCAATGATTAACCAATGAGCAATGAGTTTTTTTTGTTTTTTGTTTCTTTTTGACAGAGAATTGGACATGCTCTTTTGCAAGTTTCAACCTGAAAAAGGAGTGACAGAAAACACAGAAGAGGTAGGTACACAGTGCTACACACATACCAAAGCAACGCGCAAGTTCCTCTGACATTCATCGACAAAATACGCAAAAAGCTGTGCACGCGTCCCTTCACGACCATCGCGCTTCGCTCTTCCTCGTACATTCTCTGCAATCATCGAGACATCACCTTGCTCGAATAGGTTCGGCACCTGCACACAGCTTCCGGAATCCGCCCCCCGCCCCCCACATCGTCACTCATGAGTCATAAATCACCAACTGATGAACTTTTCTTTTTTGGGTAATATTAAGTGAGACTTGCTTCGGGGGGACGCACTTGTAGGGAGAGAGGAAGCTGGCTATGCAAGAAAGAATATAGTCTGGGTGCAGAAAGAGTGGTGGAAAGAGTGTAATTTTCCTTCTTAGAGTAGGGAGTAATAAATGCTAAGAAAAAACAAAAAACAAAAAAAAAGCTGTGCTGTCTCGCTGTCGTACCAAATACCCTTACAAGGGTATTTGGCGTCCTTTTTGTAAGTCAAGTCAGTGCAGCTTCGTCCGAAGTTGACGGCGCACTCGCGGATGAGAGTTGAGTCCTTGCCCGGGTGAGGGGAGCGTGTGGTGTGTTGACGACGGGGTACAACCACGCGGGGCCTCAGTGTGGGCGGCGTCACAGGCCAGCGGGACGCGCGGCCCCTCGCCCCGTTACTTTTTTTGTTTCCTCGCATTTGTTCTTATTTTTATTAATTTTATTATTTATTTATTCTTACTTTTTTTACGGTTGTCTTTGACCCCGTGACCGGGTCCGAGACCGACGTCGGGCACCACGGGCCTGGCTCGGCTACTACTTTGCTGGACACGGGTGGCCGTTACAGCAGTCGAGGACCTTGATCACGCATCTCTTTCGACGGGCCCGCCCGGGTTCCGCCATGTCCTAGATGCTGGCAAAATTCCTCTGTCTGCCCGTCTTGATACTCGGACCGGGGAGTTCGACGTGCATGCGAGCCGGTGGGTAATTAGCATGGTAACCGCGGACCCGGACACCGGACACTTCCGGACTGTCTTCCGGACCAGTGTCTGGACCGGTCCGGACTGTCTGGTGATCTGGGCATCACCGGACACCGGACATCACCGGACACCTGACAGTCCGGACCGGTCCCCGGGGTGCAAA